CAAATATATGTTTGCAGCTCTATTGCGTATATGACATTGGTGAATATATGTTTGCAGCTCTACTGTGTATATGACATTGGTGAATATATGTTTGCAGCTCTATTGTGTATTTGGCATTGGTGAATATATGTTTGCCAGTAAAGGCCCAAAGTCAACATAAATTGGGGGCCTTATTTATTACTGTTAAGAGGATTGTAGAAAAAGAATAGCTAGCTGCACATTGAACACGACCTATTCAGTGGTACATAACATGGTCTTGTGGTGCAATAGGGTGCTTTTGGTTTGTTAGTTTGGACATACTTGCATATGTGCACTCGAACAAGCTAGATTTGGGCATATTATATAGTTCGCAAAATATAAGTGTTAGGGGTGCTAATAAATTGAACATGAAATAACCCCCCAAAAAAATACATAGTCTAAACATTTATTGATCAAATACACATTCCACATTTATTTGGACAGCAGCAACAAGTAGGTACAGTCAACTTCTTGGTGGGAAAAAAAAAAGAAAAGCAGGATTGATGTTGCTAAAATAGAACGGTCCTGCTCAGAAGAGCTTACAATCTAAAGATTATACTTCTAATGAACTGTGCTTTCACAGGTTACAGCAGGAAACAAACGGTTAATATGAATCAAGCAACATTTTCAGGGCCATAAAATTAACACACACCATCACTTTGTAGGATTATCTATCCACAAAACAGGCTGCAGATCAAAATATCAATATAAAAATACATAAGACAGTGCCAAAATACCAAGCGCCTCCCACCTCCCCAAATCCCCCACACATACATTTCTCATCATGCTTGTCCTAAAACTGCATTTCATTTTAAATAATAAACACAATCATTGTACAATAATACACAAACACACTTTAGAAGGAAAAAAATGCAAAACATTTACAGCCCACATCAAAACACAGCCTGAGTGGGGTCTGGGGCAATTCAGCACAATATCTCTTCCTCCCCACACCACCACAAGCACAGACTTGCTGAAAATAACCTGGCTTAGTAACTGACTACTGCAGGTCTTTATATAAAATAGGTTGCAATTGGAGCACACCAAAGAAGGTCCCCACTCCCAATGAAGGCCACACCCACCACTGTCATTCATTTGGTCAGAGAAAGTGTTTGCACCTGATTATCCAGCACCAATCCTATTTTCACCCTTGGTATACAGGCCCCACAAATCAGAGGCAGAAAGAAATCCACAGTGAAGTGTACCTGTGTAGCATACAACAGAAAATTGAACAGGGATGTGAAGGGGAACCCCATGGCAATATGTATTGGCACTATGGGCACAAATCACTCCAGGTTATCAGTAAACCTTGTTTCCTTTAGTGAAATAAACTCAAAGAAAACTTTCTCTTTTAGCTGGGGAAAGTGATATCTGAATTTCTGAGCTATAGTGAAGAAAAAAAAAAGCCTGAAATCCATACCAAGCCCTTTGGCTCTGGTATAGATCTTGAGGGGAAGCCCCACCCCAAAATAAAAAAAAAATGGCATGGGGCCCCCCCCAAATCCATACCAGACCCTTATCCAAGCATGCAGCCCGGCAGGTCAGGAAAGGGGGGGTGAGCGAGTGCCCCCCTCCTGAACCACACCAGGCCACATGCCACATGCCCTCAACATGGGGGGGTGCTTTGGGGTAGGGGGCTCCCCCCCAAAGCACCTTGTCCCCATGTTGATGGGGACAAGGGCCTCTTCCCCACAACCCTGGCTGGTGGCTTATTGGATTCTGGAAGCCCCCTTTAACAAGAGGGCCCCCAGATCTGGCCCCCCCATGTGAATTAGTATGGGGTACATGGTACCGCTACTCATTCACAAAAAAACAAAAAGTGTAGTGTAAAAAAAGACAGGACATGGTCTTTGATAAGTCCTTTATTAAAAGAAAAATCTAAAAGAATGTCCCCCGAAGTAGATCCAACGTCAATCCCGGGGACATCACGCATGTGACCCCACCCCATGTGACATCAATGATGTCACATGGGGTGGGGTCACTCGGATGATGTCCCGGGTTGCCCCGCCCCTTAGATATTTAAGAGCTGTCAACCCAGCCAACAGCAGAGTTCTGGATGCCATCGTCGGGAGCGGAACCTTTTTTTTCCCTTTTTTCTGGTTGCTAGCGGCTTACAGCGTGAATGACGTTGGATCTACATTGGGGGACATTCTTTTAGATTTTTCTTTTATTAAAAGACTTGTCAAAGACCATGTCCTGTCTTTTTTTACACTACACTTTTTGTTTTTTTGTGAATGAGTAGTATTACCATGTACCCCATACTCATTCAAGTAGGGGGGGCGGGATCTGGGGGGCCCCCTTGTTAAAGGGACCTTCCAGATTCCGATAAGCCCCCCGTCCACTGACCTCCACAACCACCGGCCAGTGTTGTGGGGAAGAGGCCCTTGTCCCCATCAACATGGGGACAAGGTGCTTTGGGGGGAGCCCCCCTACCCCAAAGCACCCCCTTATGTTGAGGGCATGTGGTCTGTGGCCTGGTGTGGTTCAGGAGGGGGGCACTCGCTCATCCCCCCCCCTTTCCTGACCTGCCGGGCTGCATGCTTGGATAAGGGTCTGGTATGGATTTGGGGGGGACCCCACGCCATTTTTATTTTATTTTTGGGGCCAGGGGAGGAAAAATTTAGCATTTTTAAACTCTGGCTCCCATGCAATTGATGGTGGGAGAGGCAGCAGAGGGAAGCCGGAAATTGCATCAGAGCCACAGAAGACCAGAGCTGCCCAGGGAGGGAGGCGGTTTCTGGGGGTGAGAATCAGTATTGGGGGGATTGATAGCAGCCAGTGAAGCAGGTAATTTGAAGAGGAAAGGAAGCAGGAGTGAAAGGCAGAGAAGTGGTAGGGGGGTGGAGGGGGGGTTATTTTAGATGAATAGATCTGATCAACGGCTTTAAAGTCACTAAAAAGAGCTAGTGTTTTGTTTGACAGAGTGTGCTGAACAATTCTAGTATAGGGTTATGGCCACTGGAGTGACCATAAGCTTATTGCAGAAGGAGGAATGTCAGGTACGGCAAACAGACCTGGCCAGCTGGAAGCAGTGCTGTAGGTCCGTACGCTATATGGAAATGGCAGCAAAAGGGTTAAAGCTGTACTCTGGGATCCCCTTCACCTCTACCACCCTTCTTAAACTAATCACAGGCATAAAAATAAAACCCCAGGGGTGGCGCCAATGTAATGGGAGAACACTGGCATGCTAATCCCCAGTTCAAGGGGAGCACCAATGGAATTTGAACATACTGACCACCAATATGAGGGGTACAAATTGAACATCAAGATAAGGGAAAATCACTGCGCATGATAATCACCAATGTAAAGGGAGCACACTGTACACCAATGGAATCAGAGCACACTGACCACCAGTGTAAGGAGTGCACTCTGGTCACCATTGTAAGAGGAACATACAGACCATAAATGTAAGTAGAACACACCAACTGCCATTGAAAGGGGAACACAATGAACACCAAAGTAAGTGGAACATACTGATCACCAAAGTAAGTGGAACATACTGACCACCATTGTAAGGGGAGAACACTGACTGCCAATGTAAGGGGAACATACTGACCACCTATGTAAGGGGGCACACTGATAACGAATTTAACAGGACACACTGAGAGCCAATGTAGGGGGAATACAATGACCATGAATGTAAGGGGAGCACACTTAGCACTGATCAACATTGTAAAGAGGTACATTGGTCACTGACCACCAGCGTACAGGGGCAAACTGAGCACTGGCCAACAAGCTAAGGAGGTACATTAAATACTAACCAATGATATAAGGAGGCACACTGAGTAGTGAACACCAATGTAAGGCAGTGCACTGACCACTGACCAACTTTATAAAGGGGTAACCTGAGCATTGACCTCCATTGTAAGGGAGCACACTGAGCAACTAATGTTGTAAATAGTCCTGACTTCCACACTCTATATGCTACTTAGTGCTGACCTCTTCAATCAACACTACGTTGGATATTGCACAATGAAAGGACACACTAATTGCTATATTGCCAGGAAATAATTGTTTTTAGTCCTGGGGTTAATTATTTGAAATGCTGAACTTTAATTATTGTGCAATATTAGTAGATAACTCTTTTATTTTATAGGATGGAGAGTTAATTATTGTGTAATTCTGGGAGATAATTATTGTCTATTGCTTAAGGCTAATTATTGTGCAGTGCTGGGGTTAATTGTTGCACAGTGGGGGGGGGGGTTAATTGTTGGCCTGTTGGGGGTTAACTGTTGTGCCCTGCTGGGGGTTAATTATTGTGCTGTGTGTCACTTGATGTGCTGCATTAGCTCCCATCTTATACCCCCAGCACTAACACAGCATTTCCTAAAAAAATAGTCTGGATCTTTAATGGGCTATTCTTTTTTGCCAGCTCTCTGCAGTTTACCTGTGTAAACTATTGAGTAAATCACTATGGCTCATGATAAAAAATATTCCTCTAATTTTTAAGTTTCTCTCTTTTTAGGTAGTTTAAACCAGTATCAAATTTTGGATGATATGTTTTATAAGTTAGCCACTGTGTACAGGTATCAAAGAACAAGCACATATAGCTTTGAATGAATTACAAATGAAATGAGCCTTAAACTTGCCATTGACTTTACATGTTTACGCTTTCTACACTGTGAAACTGTAAGCTACATCCAAAAAGTTTGTATACCTACTAAACACCTGATGTAGGCTTTGTCTGAAATCTATTGTTGGCTTTAACCATAACTGTGAAGCCAATAAGCACTCATGAATAGGGATGACCCTATTGATTCAAAGTTCACGTCAAACCAATGTTAGAATCAGACTTTGGCTGTTTTGACATTCCATAATGAATTGTCAGTGTGTTGGGAGTTTAGTGTGAGAGACAGGGCATACTGAACAGTACTATGCTCACTACTGTATATTGGCACTCATATTTTGCGGTGAAATGCAGTTTTGGTGGCTAGCAAGAGTTGATCTACTATGCTTTCAAAAGAACTTTTTTGTGTGTCAGAAACAGGGGCGGACTGACCATTTGGAAACTCGGGCACTGCCCGAGGGCCCGGGGTCAGTAGGGGGCCCCATGAGATGACCCTGGTACCTTTTTCATAGGCTTTTTTGAGTTTGGGCAAGGACACAGGGGCCCCATGATCCCCTATTGCCTGGGGGCCCCATGAGTTGTCAGTCCTCCCCTGATCAGAAACTACTACTGTTGCTGTATTGCTGAGTTTCCTGCTTTTTTATATTTTGAGGGCATTTATTTTTTCTCTTTATTTGTCTTTAGTATTTACATTTTTTTCTACCTTTAAAAGGGATATTATTTTGTTTGTAGTGTTTTAGAGTTGGTTTTTTTGGTTGTTTTACTTTTTTGTCCTTTAGATGTATTTTGTGTTTAATTTTATTTTGACAGGGTCAACAGCAGCATCAGCAATAGCACTGTGAAGTTGTTAGAGACAGCACAAAAGCTGCCTTTTGTTTGCAAAGTTTCACCACCTCATATTGTGTTACAGTTTAGTCCACAAAAGCACCATAGTTTCCATTGCATCCAAGCACCACAACCCCGACATACAGTTCTTGCCATAGCTGCTAATAAAAATAGGGAAAAAGCCCCACTCTAACTATATTCTGTCTGGGAGCCCCAAAGAAAGATGCAGAAGTGGTTCCTGTGCAGCTATCATGGGGAAAGCAAGTCAGTGGTCGGGGTGCAGAATCTAGGGGTAGGTCGTATGTGCCGAGCTTTACACTCAGATCACATAGAGGTGGTGGAGTGGCAAACAAGCCTTCATTCTCCTTTTCTGTTATCAAGGTGCATAGTAGCTTTAGCAACCTTCGACTTGCTTTCCCCTGATAGCTGCAATTGCTAAAGTGCCCTGTTCTGCTTCCTCATTCACAACCATGAGCACTGCATGGGTTAACTGCTTGTTTTTTTTCCAGGGGCGCACAAAAAGGCTATATTTACCTGATCCTTAGATTCTCTAGCAAACAGAGCCCCCCATGTCCAGGAGTGGACTGTTCCTGTCGTCTTCTGTCTGGAGCTGGTCTATGGGCATGATATGGGCATGATCACCTAACTGCTGATCTCCTCCGCTCCCCCCACCACTCCATCCCCCACAGCTATTTCCTCCTGTACCACTCTCCCCTCCCTCCTAGATTGTAAGCTCCAAGGAGCAGGGCCCTCGAACCCCTCGTGTATAGCATTGTATTGTTACTGTACTGTCTCATGTATTGCCTCCCATTGTAATGTACAGCGCTGAGCAAACTGTTGGCGCTATATAAATACTGTGTAATAATAATAATAATAATGATGACAGTCAATGCACAGGGGGGGGGGGGGGCACAGCCCTGCTGTATGGGAAAAATACATTTTTAATTGAACAAGCTGAAGTTAAAAGCTGATTGGTTCCTCTCCTTCTCCTACCCCTCACCTACCTTATGTCCAATAGTTTACTTAATCCTGGTTCACATGATTCCAAGCATACCTCTCAAGTAAACAGGCCAACATCTCTCTTGCCCCCAGCCGAAGGGTGGGGAGCCTACTATGTATATTTATACCTTATTGCAACTAATGTGAACCGCACTAACGTACCATAACTTGTCATGTTGAAAATCTTTCAATAAAAAATATTTAAAAATAAAAGCTGATTTGTTACTATGCACAGTTGCACCAGCTTCTGTGTGCACCAGTTTTAGTAAGTCTACCCCTTTATGTTTCTGCATCATTCTCTTCAGTTTGGACTTTTTTCTAGCTTTCATGAAGGCTATATCATGCTGTTTGTATAATTTTTGACCCTACTTGAGCACACTGTCGTAATTCAGAGTTATTTTGGAAACACTCTTTAAAATAATCTGTCCTAACAGTGATTCTTTAGAAGCCATCTGTTCTCATGCCCTGACTCTGAATTGTATGACCAGCAAATGTACTTTACATTTTGGCAGCTAATTTATACACATTTGTGTTCTACATTTGCCATAGGAGGAATACAATTTTTATTTTTTTAATTGTAGATGAAGTCCGCTTACTCTCTCCCTCTTCAACAGCCTCCTATGGTAAATAATTAGATTTTGTGCAGCTGATTTGTATTCTTTAAATTATATATCTGAATAATGAGAATACAATTTCTAATTTTGGGCAGAAAGATTACTTCCTTCTACTTCCAAAATCTTAATCTTATTTAAAAGGATGATATTCTGTAAATTCTGGAATTCTTTCTTGTTGCTTCTGGTTAGCTAAAATATGATTTCTCCCTGTCTCTGAAGTTTCCATGGATTAAATAAAATGTGATTCCGTGTATCATTATTATTATTATTTACAACACAAATGCATTCAATCTTGATATATTATTTGAAGAACTAAATTTTAATTTTATATTTCTGCCTGATAAATGCTTACTTCCAGCCTTCCAAATTGAATCCTAATAAACAGGGTGAGATTTTGTGCCCAGAATGTGCAGTGTTCATATAGTTCCACGTAATATTTCTGGGTAAAATATGCTTACTTTCTACATTCAAAACCCTATCACATCCAAAATAATGTATTCAGTTCAGCAAATAATTCAATTTAATTTATGAAATACTTTTACAACAAAATAGTTTAATTAAGTATTTAAAGTATGGCTAAATATGCCAAGTATCTGCCTCCCAAATTGTCTACAATGTGAAAGGACAAGATTTGCTACCATTATAATAGATACCATTTTTTATCTAATCCATAACATTTTCATATAAAAATATATTTGATGTTCCTATATCTGGCAGAAAGAAGCTGACTCCAAATGTGCCTCTTATTAAAAAGGATTTGTATTTCTTTTCTTTATTGAATCTATGTAAAAAGAGGCCATTTTTCTCGCTCTCAGAAATTATGGCCTATTTCAATGAAAGCTTGAAAAGTGTGGTGTGATTCTGTTGAATATCTATGTTTTCAATTGTACACAAAAGATTCTACTTATTGGAAGTTTTTAGATTCAATATGCATGCTCAATCTCTCATACAAGCATACTATCTGTGCTGCAAATCTCTAACCTTTTACTCTCTTCAGTCATTGAAACAATAAATAATTTTTTTTCTTCCAGAAGCAATGTGCTTGCTCTTCCCCTTTTGAAATTGTAGTCTATCCAACAAAATTTGTAGGTGTGCTACAAATTTGTGAAATTGTTTTCCTTAAAATTTTAAACAAATAGATACTTTTTTTTTTTCATTCCCGATGTATTATGCCTGTTCAACACTTAAGAAAGTGCAGCCTGTCCAGAAAGGCTTAATAGTCATGGTGCTAAACTGCAAAAATGTTTTCATACTCAGTCTACAATGTGAATTAAGACACTATTATTTTCTAGATGCAGTATGCCCTCTTAGTTGCTCAGAAATTGAAGCCTGTTGATACACAATTAAGATCTGTGGTGATAGTCTGTAACATCTTTCTATCTTCAGTCTACTAAATAATTCATAATTTTCTTTTATTTCCAGATACATTGTGCTTGCTCTCTCCCTCAGAAATTGTGGCCTGTCCACAAAAGCTTAATAGCTGTAGTGCTTAACTATCACATTTTTCCCTCTTCAGACTCTGAATCAAAACTTTTTATTTTTTTATTGTCAATATGCTACTTCAGTCACTCAGAACTTGCCACCTCTCCATACACATTTAATATCCATGGTGCTAAACTGTAAAATTCTGATTTCCTAAATCTTTGAGTCAATACTCAAGATAAAAAATTTTCATTGTCATATGTAATATGCCTATTCAAACTCTATGAAATTGAAGCCTGTGAATAAAGATCTAATGTCTCTGGCTCAGATCAATAACATTTTTCTGTCTTCCTTCTCCTAAAAAAAGACATATTTTTTTTTTTTTTTTTCCAATTGCAAAATGCTTGCTTCCTCCCTCAGCAATCATAAAAAGGCATAAAAGGTGTGCTGCAAATCTGTTCAGTTATTTTTTGGTCTATAATCCTAAAAATAGACAATATTTTTTATTGTTTGGACATGAAACCTGCATGCTACCCTCAAATTGCAGAATTGAAATGTTCTGTGAAACCACATGGGGTTGAGATTTAGAATCCAAACTTTGGTCATGTTGCCCAACCTGTATCAAACCAAACATGAGTACATTCAACTCATCCCTAACCATCAACCATGCTGGACCTTTGGTGGATTTAGAGCATTGTAGGAAGTGTAAACTTGCTTTCCATTGTCTGAGCACCTTAATATCATCAGAAAAAGATGTCAGCTTAAGTAAATTACTATTGATTATCATCTCATGTAAGGTTTTTTTTTTTTTTGTAGGATACAGCCTTAAGTGTAACTTAAAACACCATCCATGCTGCAGTCTTTCAGTAGCATTACCACAGCGGTGTTTGTTTATCCTCCTCCCCCTCCATAACACTCTCCATAATCACCTATAACATTCATGTTATTAGTGTGAAAGATTAAGTTACAGTAAGTACCATTCTCAGCTGCCTAATGGTCAGCTCAGCTGTCAAACAACCAGCATTGACTGCAGTATATGAAAGCACAGCTGCCTGTAGTTCCAACAGTAGGGTGATAATGCCTTTGCAGCATAGATGGTTGGTCTTTTTTCTTTATTTAAGAAAGCCTCTGAGACAGCAGAGAATAACAGAATATTTAACAGACATTTATTAAGCATTCTCTCATACCGATATACAAACTACAACTACATTTACAAGATAAAAAGGGATTATTAACTTGACATTTATAATTTGAGTCTACACTTTAAGTAAGTAAAGTAAAAAAAAAACTTACTTTACTGTTTTGTCCATCTTTATTATGCTGTTTTCAGGTCCAGCACTTAAATACCCACAAAATGTGGTGCTGGGGTAAGTATAGTAAGATCATTTGGGTTTAGATACATCTAATTTTAGAGGATGTTCTTCAAAGACATGTGCTTATCCTCATTTGGCTAAATAAAAAAAACAGTGACTACTGTAATAATGCAATACAACTAGTTAAATTGTGACAAGCCAAGATCAGAAGCTGAGCTGATCAGAAGGTGTACATTTACCCCCATTACAGTCCTCGTTATCTATAAATAATAATCCAAAGAAAAACAAAAACAATTTTAAAATCTTAGTCTCAAAAGAAATATCAAAACATTTGAAAATGTTTGAAAAACTCATGAGAAGCTTCAAATTATGTTCCATAAAGTTACATTAACTGCAACCAAAAGCATATTATCACAACC